AGAGAATGAGAGAGAGCATGAGAGGGGAGAGGGTCAGAGGGAGAAGCAGACTCCCCACTGAGCAGGGAGCCCAATGTGGGACTCGATCCAGGGACTCCAGGATCATGACCTGAGCCGAAGGCAGTCGCTTAACCAACTGAGCCACCCAGGCGCCCGCTACCATTACTATTTTTAAATGAATTTTTAAAAGTCTTAAATATTTCTCAGTTTCAATTCTAATACTATAAATATTGATAGACATAATTCATAGAACCAAAGCTCTTTAGGGACCCCAATATATTTGAGAATGTTAAGAGGTCCTGAGATCAAAACGTTTCTGAACTGGTGGTGCCTGGGTGGCTCAGTCGTTAAGCGTCTGCCTTCGGCTCAGGTCGTGATCTTGGGGTCCTGGGATCGAGCCCCACATCGGGCTCCCTGCTCCGCGGGAGGCCTGCTTCTCCCTTTCCCACTCCCCCTGCTTGTGTTCCTGCTCTCGCTATCTCTCTCTCTCTAATAAATAAATAAAATCTTTAAAAAACAAAACAAAACAAAAAAACAACGTTTATGAACTGTTGCAGGAAGGAACCATTTCTTTGGTTTTAGACTTGATCTTCTTTCAAAGTGCAAGTAAGTAGGACTACAGTAGCAGAAAGAGCCTAGGTTTTGGAGATTAGTTAGTAGATGTGGGCTGGTAAGCCAGAGGCTACCTCTGTTTATATGAACTTGGGCAAGGCAGCTAACTTGTGAGAGTCTTAACTTTCCCTAGTCTCAGTATGAAAACACCTCAACGGATTATTTGGAGAATTAAGAAAAACATGGGAAAACACTCAGCATAGTGTGGCACATAACAGGTAGTGTTTGGAACACAAAAATACTAAATTTTATTGTCAACTATACATTGTGTGAGATTTCAAATCTGTTTTCAGACAGCTTTTAAAGGTGGGGAGGGAGAGATGCAGCGGTGTGCAGTAAAAGTTTAATAACTTAACTCTCTGGGGTGGGGAGGAAGCCCTGCTTTTTAGCATTTGCTGAATTCTGTGTCAGTTGGGAAGAGACAGGCTCAAATCAGCTCTTGTGAGCAGGTAGAGCCAGCTTCAGCATAAAATGTTCTGGGGCTTTTACGGGAATAGGGAGGAAATACATAAGGCAGAAAGGGCGTCTGGGATCCTGGGGGAAAATTTATGCTAATCCAAAATTTTGCCTTGAGTCAATCCAGGATTCCCAATTCTCTTTTTGAATGGATTGAATCCTGGGGGTCACCAAGAGGGTACCATGTAGATTTGCATGTCCAAATTATCTGCCACAGACCTTCATAATTCCATGAATAGAATAACCATTTGCGGAGACATATTGCCTATGGAGAACCTGGTTAAAATAATAGATCATTGAGTATTTTAGATGGGAACAGGTGTAATGACCTGAAATGATGCTGCAGGGAAGTGGATCTCAAAGGTGATCCCAGACCAGCAGCATCGTACCTTCTTGGAACATGTTAGAAATGCAAATTGTCAGACGCCATCCAACCCTGGGTATTGTGAACTCTGAGAGTGGGGCCCAGCAACGTGTTTTTGCAAATCCTTCAGGAAATTCTACACGTGCTTTGAAGTTTGAGATCCCCTGGTGTTGGGGAAGTTTGGGGGCCGTGGGAGCTAGGAAGACTGTAGTATCTGGAGCACGGTGATTCCTGAACATCCTGGATGTCCCACACGAGGCTGGGGCAAAGACAAACTGCTACTGGGAATAGTGGATGCTGTTGGTTCCCCAGCCAGAGCCCCTTCACTGGGCTGGTGCAATCTCTTGGCCACTGTTGTCTTGGCTGGTAATGGCTCGTAGATATCCCCTTCCCTGGACTAATGCCAAGGACTGGCTGACAGCTGGGTACAAAAGCCTCTTCCTTTGTTTCAAAGTGGGACTAACACTGTGATGGAATTCATGTTCTTTGAGGAAGAGACTGAAGCCAGTCTCCAGCTGAGACCCCATTCTAGTTCAGCTTTCCCACCTGCCCTATCCTGCTTCCCTCTCTTTTCCTGCAAGCACTTTATATGAAAATGGTTTCAACAAGAATCTTGGTTATAGACTCTACTTCTAGGGAACTTGACCCGAGACACTTAATTTTAAAGTCAGACAGTTCTGGATTTGTATCTAAATTCCCTCAATTAACTATGTGACTTTGTGTTGACCGGAGCTAATGATGCCCACTTGGAGGGTTTGTTGTCAGAATTAAAGGGACTCTGTGTAAAAGCCCTCAGCACAGCGCCTGGAGGAGGGTGGTGTGAACTGTCCAGGGCTGCCTTTGATCTTTTTCTGACTTGTCCTTTGGCTTTGGGCATGTTAATGTTTTCATGCTGTTTCCTCTGTGGGAACTCTGTGTGTGTCTAACACCAGGCTACCTCATCAATAACTGGGAGTCAGAAATATTTTTTCAAGTGGTAATGTACTTGGCAAAATGTGGAGCCCAGCCATAAAGCGTAAGGAGCACTAATTATACAACTGAGTGTGGAAATGCCCTGGGAGAGAAGTGTCTGGGAGTTCAGAGGCCAGGAGAGATGGGGGTGGTCCAGCCAGAAGCCTTCCTGGGACTTTCTCACCTAAGCAAGCAGCACTGTGAACGTGAGTATTTGGATCTATAAATCTGGTCTCTCCAGGTCCAGGGAGCCCACAAACTGGGAGGCAGAAAAAGGTGGGAGAGAGTTGGATCAGCTTCATGTCCCTGGCCCGTCTTTATCCAGAATTCCTTCTTGTCTTGGAGGTCTGGACTCCATTGTCACCTCCTCATAGGGGCCTTCTTTAAACGCCCTCTCCCATCCCATGGCCCATTTATTCATTCCCCAGCACTTACCACCTCGACGCATTAGCTTGCCTAGGTATTTATCATTGTGCATATTCCTTGTCTCTCCTGCTAGAACTCCTAGAGCATGGGAACTCAGTGTGTCCTGTTCACTGTACATGGTAGGTCCTCATTAAAACTTAGTTTTGGAGCCATGGGAATTCTCATAAATTGCTAGTGAGAGGTAAATGGGCATAGCACTTTGGAAATCTCTCTGGCCGTATTCAGTAACACTGAACATATGCCTTCCTATGACCCAGCAATACCATGTCTAGTTATTTATCCACAGAAACATGTCTAGTTATTTATCCACAGAAACACAAAATCCACCAAAAGACATGTACTAGAATGTTCACACCAGCACTTTCTGTAATAGCCACAAAACTGGAAGCTACCCAAATTTCCATGAAAACAGAACAATTTGTGGTATATCCATAGAAGGAAATATTATATAGAAACGAGAACCTTCCACCAGAGGCCAAAACATGAATGAATCTCACTAACACGACGACATGATGTTGAGTGAAAGAAATCAGATACACGAAAAGCACATTCTCGGTGATCACATTTATATAAAGTATAAAAACAGGCAAACCCAATCCTTGTGTGAGAAATCAGGATAGTGGTTGTGGGTGGGTGGATGTGGGTAGTGGGCTGGAAGGAGCTGAGCTGGGCATCGAAGGTGCTGGTCCTGGTCTGTTTCTTGGTTTGGCTGCCGCTTACACAGGTATATGCAATTCGCGAACATTCATCCAGCTCTGCACCGTGCACCTTTTATGTGTACTTCATACTGCAATAGAATTTACATTAAAACAATTGCATGGGGTTTTGCCCAGAAGAGTGTAGGAGCTCTCAATAACATTTACCTTAAAAATAAAAATGTACCGGGGGCTTGGAGCCCTGGAGTTAGGCGCTCACTTAGGGGAGATCGGTCGCACCTGCCGGTTCGCCCCGCGCAGTGCCAGGTCAGCGACCGCGCTAGGCCTTAGGGGGCCGCCTGAAGTTCAGCCCAGGAGGGTCCAGTTCGAGATCCGGGAGGGGCCGTCCAGCGCTAAGTCCGTCTGCAGGGCGGCAGCAGGGCTCCGGGAGCTTTAGCGCTGGAAACCCCAGAGAGGCGAAGACCAAACGACCCGCGCGGTTCTGGGTCCTGGAGCCTAAGGGCACCTCTTGGAGCCCGCGGGCACCCGACGGAGTTCGAGGCGCTCCCCCTCCGCGGTGGTCACGGCCGCCCACGTCGGCTGTAGCGGGGGCCGAGGTCCTGGACGCAGGGGCTCGGGGAGGGTTCCAACGTCGAGAGGAAGTTCAAGGCTCGGCTCTGGCACCGGGCTTCGCCACCGCCGCCGCCAGAGGCTTGGGCTCCCGCCGCGGGAGGGCGGGGGAGGGCGCCTGTCCCGGAGTAACCCCGCCGGGAGGAAGGGCGGGCAGCGGGCGGCCTGCCCTGAGGACGGCCAGGCGGAGGGAGGGGCGGAGGGTACGACAGGCTAGAGAGAGGGGGGGCCCACGAGTCGGGCGTCTGGCGGGGGAAGAGAGTGGGAGATTCCCCCACGAGTACAGAATCTGGGACAGGGAAAAAGAGTGGGGGTCCCCTGAGAGCCCGAGCCTAGAAGTGGGGTATGGAGTGGGGCCCTCTAAAGCCAAAGCCCGACATTGTTGGAAAAGGAAAGAGAGAGAGAGCTCCTCTTCCCCCATCCCAAAACTCGGGGAGGTGAGGGAATGGGGGACCCCGCGAGCTCAGGACCTGAGGATGGGGGAAAGAAGTGGCCCTGTGAGCTCTGGAACCCAGAGCCAGGACGGGGGTGGGCGGGGTGTGGGGGGAGAGGGGTGGAGGAGACAGAGGTGGGGAAGTGGGGGAGGGGTATTCGAAAAGAGTCAACAACAGTCACGGGATGACTTTCTGAGTCGCCAGGTTTCTCTTTAATGACCCTGGGCTTTGAAAATCAGCACCTGCCTGTGCTTGAGCGCCATCTAGACTGGCGCAGGCGCTGTGATATTTTCATAGGCCTGACTTGACCTATGCGCATGCCCGGCCTCAGTGGCCGGCAGCTCCTGTCCGCGAGAACTGCCCCCTACCTGCCAGGGCTGGAGGGGACGCCCAGACCTGGCCAGAGAGGCTTACCGGCTCCACGAAGGGAGCGCTCTCACCTTCTGATTCACCCCTCATCTGTGCTCCTCAGTCAGAGGTGGGGAGTTTGGTGGTGATGGGGAGGAGCTGCCTGAGCAAGTGGCTGCAACATTAGCACACCCTAAGTTTCTTTGGAAGCATAAAAGTTTCTCTTTCTTCGGCCCTAGTCCACTGCTGCCCTCCGTCCCCAAAATTACCCCCACCACCCCCATCAGTGTGAGGGGAGAGAGAGGACCCATAGTCAACAAGGGTAGCTGATTCTGTTTGGCAGCTTAATTCTGGAAGTATCATCAGATGGCCGCTTAATTTCCCAGTCATCACAAAGGAGGCAATCCTATTTTGGGTTTTTCTGAAGTGATTGTAATTTTCATCTGGGCAGCCAGTGATAACTCCTGAAAACACCCTAAAACAAAGGAGGCTGCAGGAACTGGAGGGCCACAGAAAAAGCAGCTCACAGCTTTTTCTCAGGGGCTTGTTTCGAAGACCTGTAACCTATAGGTTTTGTTTGCTTTTGGGGGCGGGAGATTTCACCAATACATGTCTCCTCTATTTTTACCCATCTCCTTTACTAGGTCCTATTTTTACTTGGCCAAAGAAAAGTAATCATCTGCCTGTATTATACACTCAGATTTTCCCCTTAATTACAAGTTTCAAAAAAAAAGACAAAAATGGAAAGTGTTGGAAACTAGAAACTGTCTAGAAACTAGAAACTAAACAATAATAGTATAAAAGAAGGTTACTGGACTGACTTTTGGGAGACCTGGGACCTTTCTCTGCCACTAATATGCTAGTCAGGTGACCTTAACTTTCTGCCTCTGTTTCTTCAATAAAATATAGGTGTTATCATAGGTGACCCCAGATCTCAAAGTCTGCTCCTCTTAAGTTTCTTTGGGAGAAGACTAAAAAAATTGTTGTAAATAAATTCCCATCAGGTGTATGGCTTCATATTGAATACCCTTCCTATTTTAAGCTAGGGAGAAGATGTATGAACATACATTTTCTCATTCAAATCCCTTTTATCCTCTCATGATGCTCAAAGTGCAGTGCTGACGTCTGTGAGGCTTTGTGTTCAGTTTGTACCATTTGCAAACACAGGATTATGGTGGAGTGGAAGGAAGAATGGCTACAGGATTTCTTGGACCTGACAGTCTCACACTTCTCTTTCCATTTTCACTCCAATTAGCACACAACTTTTAAAAGTTGGCCTAGGCACAACAACACTTTCACACATCCATACTAAAATCCATGCTAATCTTTCCCATGGGATGTAATTCAATTGAATTGACATTCTAATAAAATACTGGCAAAGACACAATCACAGTTTGCCTGCAATGCATAATTAACATAGCACTAAGCAGTTGCTTAAACCTCCGATAATGGCTTCTTCTATATTAGTTACGAGATGTCAGAGTTTTCATTCCTGGATGTGAATAGAACATCATCAAGCTACTCTGTTTAGCAAAGCAGGTTGTGATCTTAGTTTGTCATTGCTAGGAATGCACTAAAATGTAAATCTGCTTTCAGGTTGGTCTTGAGCAATTACTTAATCATCCAAACCTGCCTTCCAATTTGCATTTTCTGGTCACCGCTGACCAAGTCCCCTCTGCTATTTTCAAATCATTGGCACAGATATACATTGGCTTGGAGGTTCTTTGAATCTACTATATATGGCACTTGAGAAATCATAACTATTTTTAAAAGACTAAAGACAGGAGAAGTTGCCTTAGGTAATGAAAATCAGATTTTGCTGTTGTTTTTGTTCCAAAGTATTTTATACTGATAAAGTAACCCTGATTTAGCATTAGCGCTGATAACAGGCTATAGAAATAGGACACACTTTGTGTTCCTATATTTTATTTAAAGCTGATTTTATTTTATTTAAAGTTGATACTTTTAGGTTATTAATTAATCTGCAGTAAATTGAATAATTCCACCACTGATAGTTTTTGTTTTATGGCCAAGAAGTTCTGGAATTGTCATGGAGCTGGAGAGAAAGAGTGGTTCCTTTATGGATTCCTATACGTTTTAGGTGAAGCTTGGGTAGTTGTGCACTCCTATACTGTGAGGGCATTTTTAGGTGTGCCCTTTAGCTGGATCGACTCACTCCTGTGGCACGACCTTTTTAACACTGTACATTTGTGATATTAATAATCTCTGACTTTAGGAACAGAGTACCTCAGAAAATAAACGAAGCTTATTATTGGAGCTGGGAGGGGTCACATCATTCATTGGGGCTCAAGGCATTCAATCACTGTTGACTTACCCATGGACTGTAAACTTGATCTATCCTGCAAAGTGGAGGCAGGTCCTAGGTACCCAGACAAGCAAGGTGGGGGAGGACTGAATCAGGAAATGTATTCCACAGGAAACGTGTTTTTCTCTGAACAGAGCTGTGTATTTAGGTATCATCTGCTCTTCGGCAGGCGAAACAAGATGGCACTCACCACTCAAGACCAGGAACCGAACAGTGATGCGGGAGAGTGAGGTCCTTGTCTCACGGAGTCAAAGAATGAATCTCACGGACAAAGGAGAGTGAGTAAAGCGATAGAAGTTTATTAAGCAAGGATACAGAAAGTTCTCAGGAGTCAGAGGGGTCCCGACAGGGTTGCCACTGAGGGCTTTTAGGGATGGTGTTTTATAGAAGGCAAACCAGTGAACTTAAATCTTTTTAACATCTGTTGATAGCACCATTGAGTAAGGACTACTGATAACACCTTCAATGGCTTACTTCCTTTTTAGGGTCCGGTAATTCTTGGTTGGTCACAAGTAGCTGTTATAACAAGACCCCACCTCTGACACCTAGGATAGGATGGTCTGATTTGTTCCCTTATCTCTGGTTTCCCTTCATCTCCCACATTTTGAATTTTGTGAGCCTGATCCCATGGCCCTCTACCTCTCTCTCCCTACCTAGCCCCACCTGTCCCTTATTCAATAGGAAAAAATCCAGGTTAAGTATCTACAGGGCTTTTATGCTTAATAAAATTCACACACATTTTTATCGAAATTCTTAGGATTCTCCTTATTTTGCTTTCATATGCACTTTGGGTTTAAATAAAGCACACAAAAATGGCACCTCGTTTTGGCTGTCTTAAGGAAAATTAGGTCACGGAGACAGAAGGGGAGCACATATATCTGGGAGCTGTGCAGAGTGCACAGTAATGGAAGAAAATTCAGCCCAAGGGAGAAACTACATAGAAATATGAAGGTGCAAGGTTAAGCTAGACCTTTGATCAACTGAAAATTTCTCATTTGTTTTATAGTTGAGATCTCCTGACCCACCAGGTGGAGAGTACTTTAAGATGTGAATCCTGGTTCTCTATAGCTGTTTTAATTAGTCAGGGTAGGTTGAGGCATCAAGGAGACCCCCAAATAAATAACGACACAAAGAACAATCCAGGGAAGTTGTTCTTGGCTGGGGTGTGACAATGGCTGTCTTCCTTCATGCAGTTATTCTGGGACTCTGGCTTTTCCTCTCTGAGGCTCCTCCATTCCGTAGGGACTTGTCATCTTTTGCATCTAAATGTAAGGAGAAAAACAAGGTGGAGAGGGCACTAACTTCTTAAAAGCTTTGAGCCGCCAGTGGCACACATAATACCTTCTGCCGCCTAGCGCTCAGCCATGTGCCCCCAGTTCTAGCTGCGTAGCAGAAAACAAAGACAATGGGTCTGTGGCGGACAGTAGCAGCCTGGGCTACATCCTGTTGCTCCAAAGGCTCTAGTCGTAATAGTTAATATTTATTAGTGCTTTTTATGTGCTTAGGGCTCCAGTTACATTTTTCACTTAATTCTCACAAAAACCCTGGGAGGTAAGAAAAAGTGTTAATCAGTTAATCAGTTTCCTGATTCAGTCCTCCCCCACCTTGCTTGTCTGGGTACCTAGGACCTGCCTCCACTTTGCAGGATAGATCAAGTTTACAGTCCATGGGTAAG